GGTTGGCGACGGCGCGCCTCTAAGGCCGATTTTGCTTCCTCCTCGTCATGCATGCCAAAACGCTGATCGAGTCGGCGCATCAGCTCCTCTAGCTGTGTCTGTGCGCTCGCGGGTAACGCTTCTACAAAATCGGCTGCCCGCCCATCAAGATTCATATTAAGTTGGCGTACTGCCTGCGCGTCCGTCCATCCATTAATTTCCTTGGCCCCTAAGAGATTGCGGGCGAATGCCTTCCACGAAGGGGCCCCCCGGCCGGTAAATATTAGTCTTATTTTAGCGTGAGGTAACGCGGGGGTCCGTACCGCTTCTGACACCAATTTGTGGGGGCCGTTGGCCCCCGGGGTCCCTCCCGCCTGCATCCCCTATTCCGTTTACGTTACCCCACCTCCCTATTACCCGCTACGGTTTCGCCGGCATTCGAGCGCGACACCCCTACTATTACAGCCTCGCACTGCGCTCCCACGCTGCGAGCATACGTGCGCACATCATCATCAATCAAACGCCGTGCTCGCAGTATAGCCCTGTGCGGCACGTTACCAATGCGCATCCGTATCCGACACGTAACGAACGTATGCGCACTCCCACACACAGCTCTGCGCGGCACTCACTCAACACTGACCACTCGCGTTAGGATCGTGCACCTGTATTATACACGTCATGAACGTGCGCGCACACACATACAGCTCCACACGCGATACCCACTCTTGCGCCGCTCTGCGCCGCGCTGGCCGCTCACGTTATGATCGCGCACCGGGGGTACGCCGATTACGCACGCCGAGAGCTTACGCATACACCGTACCACACGCGTTCACACTTATAACACGAGATCACACGAGGCCACGATCAGCTATTAATGATTTATTATCCGCTACCTGGAACTAAATCAGTGAGTCGACGAGGCTGGCCTACGCTGATACCTCTATACCTATTCCCGATTTATCTGCTATGATTCTAATTCACCTTCTTACTCACTGTTAAGTGTCCACGGCGGTCCGCTGATCCTTGTGCTAACCGCGTGCCTCGGTGCGTCGCACGGACGTCCGGGTCGCTGGCTGGAGCTGCGTCTGGTCGCCCGGCGCTGGAGTAAGAGAGCGATTTCCCCTTTGCGCTCCCCATTTATCCTGATTCCCGGACCCCTACCCCCTTCCCACGCACCGTGCGCCTTCACTATGCTAATTAATCCTTTGTCCGCGCGGCGTGAACTCCAAACAATGGCACGCGCCCCCCTCGCCCGGGCCAGGCAGCTCCGCGGTGCCTTTGTTCCGCTAATCAATGAGCGACCTGCACGGCGCAAATTCCAATCAATCCTTTTCTCACGCAGGCCCCCATCATCGAGGTTCATGCGGCGGTGTCCATCACAAAGGCCCGTCGTGGGAAGCTGTGCATGGCTCCCCGCGCGCCTCCCCTCTCCCGATTATTTATACTAATAGCCTTATCCTTTAACTCCCCTAACAATGGTGCCTGCGTACCCGAGCGTAATTATGCCGTCCCTCCGCTGCTGGTGCGGGGGTGCCTGATTATGCAGTTCAGATGCGCTGCGTGTTTTCTAATGATGCTCCTCCATCACAATGCTTATTCCCTCTGCCTGCCCCGTCGATACTGGCGTGTGTGGGGGGAAATGCGCCTCAACCACGGTGGCCGAATGCCCCGCGACCACACCATATTAAGGCCGGTCGCAGCGCCGCGGCGCAACGTAGCACGGGGGAGGTCATCCAATTCCCTGATCGCCGGAAACCGTGAGAGTTGATCCCGATAAGGGTTTCTCGGATAAAAACCGGTCGGCCAGGCGACCTCCCCTCGGAGCTCTAGGGGGGGGGGGAAATGAGTGCGGGTGTGTTCATGTGAGGTGAGGTGAGGGAGACAAGGGGTCGGCTCCGTTGCTTGGTGGTGGCGAGGTCGGGGATTTGGCGCCTGCCGAACGGCTTCGCGGCGGCGGCATCACATATCTCGTCTCTGTGTTAATAAGCCTCCCGCACTAGGCCTCGCGAAGCCTGCCACACTAGGCCTCGCGAAGCCTACTGCACTAGGCCTCGCGAAGCCTTCTCTGCAGTAGACTTAGCGAAGCCTCTGCAGTAGGCCTCGCGAAGCCGCGCTTTTTGTGCACAAATAAGGCGATTAAATGTATCTCGTCTCTGTGTTAATAAGCCTGCCGCACTAGGCCTCGCGAAGCCTGCCGCACTAGGCCTCGCGCCGTGCTTTTCGTGCACAAATAAGGCGATTAAATGTATCTCGTCTCTGTGTTAGTAAATGTTTCTTGTCTCTGTGTTAAAAAAGTTTTGCCGTGAGGCGCCGGAAGCGACGGCCATCTTGTTTAGTTGACAGATCGCAGGGGGAGCGGGCGGCCATCTTGTCGGACAGGGTCATGCCAAGTGTTTGCAGTAGGGGGCGATGTTGATACACGGACGGACGGACACATTAATCTATTGGTGGTCTGGTCCACTTCGTTCCTACCAGTATTATAATGTATACTACTCCTGGCCAGGTGGTTTGTGCTTGCGTGTTGCACGCTCGCAGTCCGTGCAGAACACTGGTTGGTTCTTCACTCATTTTCCGAGCGAGGGGGGGGGGGGGGCCCCCCCACCCCCCACTTCCACCGATAAGACGACATCGGTGTGCACGTGAGGGCCGCCACACCACTTAAAACCATTGGGGTTTGTGACCATCAGCACCGATGTTTACTGTCAGGGTGGGGGGTGGGGGGGCACTAAAGGCCACTGCGGGAGCCTTGCAACGAAGAACACCGGGTTTTAGAATGTGCTCAAGCTGTGTGCGTGGCACGCGTGGTGGTTTTAAACAGGTCCCTGCGGGGTGGGCTGGTAGGAACGAACAAATGAATGGCTATAATAAAATGAAATGGCGGGGGTACGATACGAAGGGAGAGTTTGAGGCCTAGTTCTAGGCTTTAGGCCTAGCTGTAGGCTTTAGGCCGCTGTGAGTTAATTTTTAATTTAAATGTTTTAATTGAAAACTATCTCAGGGAATTATACGGGACTGTTACACTTGTTTAGCCAGGAAAGCCTCACTGAGTCTAAAGGTTTTTGTAGGGTCCTGCCAAGTGTTTGCAGTAGGGGGCGATGTTGCTACACGGACGGACGGACGGACGATATAATCTATTGTAGGCTGGTTCACTTCGTTCCTACCAGTATCAAGTATTTAAATAAGTTGAGATGCCACAGCCTGGAGGCACAGCGGCAGGAAGCCCCGCCCGGTCATGCGTTCAATCCCCGGTTGGGAGATTGACTCGGCCCATCATCATCCCCCTCCGGGTGGATAAAATAGGTACTACTTCATGGGGATGTCGGCGGTGGATGGCCCTGTGTTCAGTCTCGCCTCCCTGCCGTAGGAATTTCTCGGACATTTTCCCACCGCTGGCTGCGGACGGCTCGCTCGGGTAGGAGAACTCTCGTTGACTTGAATAATAGAAATAATTTTTTTACGAAACGTAAGCGCCGCATTCCGTCCGTAGCGGGCTCGCCAAAGCGCCGCCAACGCGTTACGGGGCGAAGGAAATGAAACGCAACCTTGTCACCGCAGAATTAAACGGCAGAGCGAGGCGACGACTCAATGTCTTGTGAGCAGAGGCACAAAGCGTTGTTCCAAAAGCCTGGGGGAGCTGCACAGTTGCCAAAGCTCCCTCCCCCCCCGATCGCCCCCCCCCCCCCCCACGGAAGCGTAGCCTGCTTGGTTCTTCATTCCACTTTTTTTTGTTAGTAACTTGAAGCAAACGGCTGAGCAGCCAACGAGAGAGGTTCCTGCGTGGACGCTGCGAGAGGTGTCGTGCAACGGGTATAGGGCTGGGAGTTGTTGCGTTTATGTTTTTTGGATCGACGTTCGAAAGGGGAGCAGCAGCAGCAGCAGCAAGCGTTCCTCGCCGTTCAAACCCTCGGCGATTGCGACGGTTTAATTCGTTTGGCCGCGGGGTCGGGTTGGCGGCGCAGGGACAATTCCCCGTACAAACTCGTCCGGATAATCTTGACTTGAAGCTTTCGTGACTGCAGGAATCCATAGTCTTTGGTTCTTTCGGTAAAGTCACGTAGGGATAAAATAAAATAAATCGCGACGTTTTGGGCACGACACAAGCGTCCGTCCCCAGCGGTCGATTTTAATTTGTTCTCATGAAGTCGTCCGTGAAAGCGTTTTGCGTGAACGGTGATAATATTTTTTTAGTCTTTTTAACAAGTAGGCGTTCGTGACACAATATCATCCTTAATGTAGGTTTTTAGGGTTGGATCGCGTGAATATAAATGTGACAAACCTTACTAACCGGCTGTGTCGGGTGGCGGCGAGTTTAACGACGCATTGATATGTACGCGATCTAACCCAAAAAACCCTATGTTATGGATTTTTTTTCGTCTGTTGATTGTTAAATGGAGAGCCGAGAGAGAGAGAGACGTCAAACGACTCTTGCTTTGTTGCCACGCTTCTCTACGCGTCACTGATTTCCGCACGCCGCGGATGTCGCCGTGAGTTGGCCGGGGCACGCTGCTGCCTGTCTCTTCTGCCTGTGGCCCTCCCGCCCACCCACGCGCACCTGCCCGCCCACCTGCCAACTCGCTCGCCCACCCACCCACCCGCCCACCCGCCCGCCCGCCCGCCCACCCGCCCACCTGCCTACTCGCTCGCCCGCCCACCCACCCACCCACCCACCCGCCCATCCACCCACCCACCCACCCGCCCATCCACCCACCCACCCATCCACCCACCCACCCAACCCACCCGCTCACCCACCCACCCAACCCACCCGCTCACCCACCCACCCACCCGCCCACCGACCCGCCCACCCGCCCGCCCACCCACCCGCCCACCCACCCGCCCACCCATCCGCCCACCCGCCCGCCCGCCCACCCGCCCGCCCGCCCACCCGCCCGCCCGCCCGCCCGCCCACCCGCCCACCCGCCCACCCACCCACCCACCCTGCTTGCCGGTGACTTACTTCCCCCGCCTCGCGAAATGACACCCCGAGAGTCGATGTGTCCCTGTGCCGTGTGACCTCGCCGCAGGTGCTGCAGGCCTACGGCTGCGCGCCCCGCCTCTACTGCACCTTCCTCAACGGCTTCTGCTACGAGTTCGTGCACGGCCACGTTCTCGACACGGCGCTGGTTCGACAGCCGGACATCTTCAGGTGACGACATCGTGCCGTCGACCGCATTGTAAACACTCCGTCGCCGCTTCTCCTTCGCTCCTTTTGTAGGAGGAATGGATGTGGATAACAACATCTAAAATGACGGCTGTAATCTGCTGCTGTCAATCGGAGATGGAGAGCGAGCGAGAGGAGGGTCCTCTGGCAAATAAGCGTCTGGGCAGTTGAGACATTGAATGTGGTAACCATGCCACGAGTTGAGCGTGCGTTGAAACCAATGCTAATGAAGTTGTGTGCACGGATTCTATCACGCTTCGTAATTGATATTTGGGTCCTAAAACTAAAACAACCCAAAAATGCCGAACTGCTATTTTGTGTGTTTAGTTGGTTTGTCCTTCCCCCGCACCCTACGATTTAGCACGGCTTGGCTACGTATGGCCAAAGAATTTCAACGCACATCCGTACAGGCAGATCACAAAGTGGTCCGGACAGATAGATATGAAATATTTTGTTCAATCTGCTATATTTTTATTTTAGCCGGTATAAGGCCCAACGAACTCTGTAGCTCTCTTTCAGAAGTGATCTGGCCACTAATGATGGCTCATCAAAGTGGATTATTACGTGGAAATTTATAGTAGCCAAATACTCTTAAGCGTATGTTTTTTAAATGCAGAGGGGGAAAAAGCGGGAGACAATGCAGCCATGGGGATAGAAAGAGAACATTCAAACTCCAAATATACAGACGTCGGGATCGAACCCACGCGAGGTAGTTAACGTCTCGCCAGCATCTGACTTGGAACCCTCAACCACAAGCACCATTCTCACCGCAACATTTATTAAAAAGTCCAAGCGATTTCCGGCTCTATTTCCTGATCACTGGAATCAAAATTCAGGTTGCCAGTGAAGACTACATGAACCGGTCCTGGGCCTCCCCTAGGTCGACTCCACCTCAAATGAGTTACCTGCTGCGGTGCATAAACATCGCCACTGGGGAGACAAAGGCGGCCGGGCGTGGTGCTGGCCACCCTCGTGTGCTGTGCCGGCCTTCATAGGTTCTGCTACTCGCTGACAGCACTTGCCCCAACAGTTTGTTACGGCCACACGGGAGATCTTTGTCTTTGTGTCTTTTTAAATCCTTTATAT